ACAAATTATGAGATGATGAAATTCGGTTGCATGTACTTCTGCCAGATTATCTACCTATCAACCTCAGTTTATTCATATCTATTTCTTTTAATCTTTTTATTTTCTTTTCTTTTTGTGCGTGTATGCGCTTGTGAGATTATGTTTCTTTTTTTTTTGTTCCTTGTTTTTTTTATTTCGTCGCCATCGTGGTATGATTTTCTTATTCTGCGCTTAGATATTGTTCCCTTAAATCGAAGTCACCTTTTTAATTTCATTTCGATTAGTGGAGATACGATGTAAACCCATTTTAGTTGAAAACTGAAGAAAAGCGTTTACTTCAAATTAACTGCATTTCAACGCAGACCTTGTTTATACACCGGAATCATTTAGGAATAATGATTGTTTATATAGCAAAAAGAAGTTCTCATTAAAGTCTTCAAGGTTAATTCATCCACCAAAAGTTTGAATAGAAATCTACCGCATTTTATATATTATTTTTAAAATAGACATTTGTAAGAGTATTTATTTAAAAAAAAAAAAAAAAGATAAGTACACCCGCACGCACACACACACATGTGCGTGCTCATGCGCGCAGTGAAATTAAAATAGAACCTTGCTTTATTGTGAAGCTCTTCGTGACCAAGCGGTAAAAGCACACCGGGTCAGAAGGTGGCTTGTCTTGGAAACCAGGTCGCATGTTCGAATCCTGCCGGGATTTTCTCAAGTACGCAGGCTCGTAAATAAATTCAATACTATTTAAAATTAACCGGAAAGTTTACTCAAATACGGATATCCACAAAATATATATATATATATAAATTGAAATATAAACGTGAACATTGAAGAGGCGACAGGCTGTTTCATACTAGACGCAATCGTTAAACCGTCTCTGACTGTTGACTTCAATGTTCACTTTTATATTCATATCTACATACGCTCTATCTCTGATATTGAGCACTTTATCCCATAAATATAGCACACCTTAAAACTATATTTCTTCACACACACACACACACACACACAAATATATATATATATATATATATATATATATTGTATTTAGACAACAATCCCTCTTTTATACATGTTTCATTAAATACGAGTACTGATATTAATCTTTTTATTTAATTTTTTTGGTATTCGAACAAGTGTTTTCTTTTCTGGACACAGAGTGTGTAGAAACTGTTCAAATATTCTGTAATTCCGAGCGCTTTCGGCTATACTTTCAGCTATTATCAAGGATGATTATATATTTGCTTATTAACTGGGTGTATGGGTTGTATCTAGGGTTATAGGGATGCTTTATTTTCTGAACACAGTCAGCACATTGTGGCCATATTTTTAGTTAATGTTATTGAGTGTTGGCTTTTTTCTTTTTATTATTAAGGTTTCCATTATTTTTAATCTTATTTTACATATTTGGACAGTTTCTACGCACTCTGTGTTCAGAAAAGAAAACACCTATTAGAACACAAGAACGATTAAATAAAAACCTTAATCGCAGTTCCTTATCTTTCGTTTTTAATGAAACACACACACACATATATATATCTATAATATAAGAGATTCATTCAGTGGTTATAATCACGTGATTACGATTCCAATGTAATGAATTATAACCATGGAATATTAGTGTTTGAGCCTTTTATATTATATTATATATATATATATGTGTGTGCCCGTGTGTGTCCGTGTGACGAAAGACAAGTTACTGCGATTAAGCTTTTTATTTAATTGTTCTTGCGTTTTTTTCTGTGTAAGACGTGTCGATCTTTGTACAGACGTCTATACAAGATCTTATCAGAAAATAAGAGGTACCTGCAGGATAGTAACTTTAAAATTTATTGGTAATTTTCTAACATTTTCTCAACAAGAGTCTTCTTAAGTAAGCCAAAGTAGCTAAAATTCAATAAATATTAGAATGTTTAAAATATTTAATTTATATATATATATATATATATATATATATATATATATATATATATATATATATATATATATACGGAATAAATTCCAATAACCAACAAATACTATTCTTAAAAGTGTGCGCAATACAGAGTAGAGCAAATATAATTATTTATTCGAAAATTATAACATAAATATGTGATGTGGGGCCAAAGTCGGGACCACAGAAGGAAAACACGGAACACGGATTAGATGTAAGAAAGATATATTAACAACAGGTTAGAGATAGTGTAAGCGGAGCTTACTATATCTTAGTGTCCAATACTGGTAGTCGTACGCTGCTCTCACTGTCTCTCTCTATGTCACTCTGTCACTCTGTGTAGAGTGTTGTGTCGCATACTTAATATAGACCTGGAAGAGTCTATTGTGTATGTAGTTCCGGTCTCAAAATATGTTATAAAATCACTACAAAAATAGCCATTTTGTTCAACACTTCTGGTGTCTTATCAAGTGATGATGTTGAATGTAGAATAAAGGGGTTTAAAAGGTTCAAATCAATCAAACACCCCTCGCTAAGGGGAAACGTTGTTACATAAGCTGGAATGACCAATCAAAATACCAACCTTTTAAATCCCTCTATTCTGCATTCAACATTATCCCTTGATAAGACACCAGAAGTGTTGAACAAAATGGCTATTTTATAACATACTTTATAACATATTTATGTTATAATTTTCGAATAAATAATATATATATATATATATATATATATATATATATATATATATATATATATATATATATCATAAGGCTGTTACCATCAAGACTAAAAATGTGCATGACCTGTCTTAACGTTCCTGGTGTATTCTTCTGAAAATTGGACAACTTATAGGAGGCTTATAATAGATTAAACGATTCCACTAAAAAGGCCGGTGTTGCACTCTTAACCTCCAGTGACAGTATTTGATTGCATACACCGTTGTCCTCAACAAATCTGAACACAACAGCATTGAAACAATAATAACTCTCAACCAGATGCGATGCGCTGAACGCGTTGTGACAATGAGAGATAATAAGACTCCCAACAACTTTTCTACGGGGAACTGATGACAAGAAAATGTCCACAACACTGGCTTAGGAAGTGGTTTAACGATAATCTGAAGGTTAAACAGAATGCACTGCACACGGATGTGCAGCGTTGGAAAAGAACTGACTTCAAATCGTAAAGAATGAAGGTACTTTATAAGAGAGGGTTGCAACGCCTTTCAGGATGAATGTCTCAGGCATGCTCAGATCAAGCGTGACCTCCGAAGAGGCATTCACACTGATTTGCCAATTAATACACAGTCTTAAAAAAATATGGTGTGTGTGAACGCAAGATGTTGTTTAGGGCAGGTTTATATAAACCTTTTGGTTTAAAAGGTCAACATAACAACCATAAACAAGCCAACTATACCAACCCCCTTCATCGTCCTGTCGACAATACATCCGTTGCTTGCTGATTTGTAGATCATCATCTACACTGAGGAGGCACATGGTGGTAAACGCGAGAGTTGTAAGGCATGCAGATCCAACAAATTCCAATCAAGGATATATTATTATTATTATTATTATTCCTTTGATTTCTGGTGTATACTCATTTCTTTCCGGGTCCCAACCAGAGACCTAAGATCAGAAATGGCATCATAACAATTTTCACTGATAAATAGATATAGCCCTTTGTAAATTATGGGTTGTACTTTGTACAATTATTTGTTTTTCTTTAAGTCATGGGCGACCAAGGATTTCTTTAATGAGTCTATTAATATTTCCATTCAATTCGAGGGCTCCAACTACAACTGGAATTGTTAATGTCTTCATAACCCTTTTTTTAAATTTCGACTTCAAGGTCCTTGTATTTTGATAGTTATTTTTTTTTTTTGAAGATCTTCAAAGTTACATTGGATAAGGAGGCACATTTTGTCTTTGCCGTCTCTAATCACGATGTTTGGGCGATTATATTTGATTGTTCTGTCTGTGTGTATTGTAAAGTCTCATAAAATTGTCATAGGTCCTATCTCCGTAACCAGCTCTGTGTGATGTTCATATCAATTATTATTATTTTCATTTTATTATTATTATTGTTAATTGTTGTTGTTATGAATGTTAGAAACGTTACTCCTGCTTAATAATATCGTATCCATTTAAACTATTGTTGTATATGTTTCTGGTACGAAAAGGAAGATAACAATTACAAATTTATAGAATTCCGAATCATAGGTGTGCGGTTCTTACATGGGTAATTTGAAGCTTTTGAAGGGGTTAAATTGATAGCGGCATGCTTCGGTTATAAGAGAGTTTGCTTTGGTTAAAAAAGGGATGAAAATTCGATTCCTATCTGAGGGCACAATTTTTCGTAAGTAGGTTTTTTGAACGGTTACTGATAATTTTAAGAAAAGAACAAAACGGTATCTCAAACTCCTGTACCTACTTAAAATAACATTCATCATAATAAATAATTTCGATATCTGTCTATATTTCTGAGATGAGGTATTATGTACATTATTTACATTATTCGGACTATTGTCCTCATCTTTGTCGCCATATTTATTACAACGTTTCGGCCGTTGTACACTCATGGGTAAAGGGTTCAGTTCGACAGTTTAACCACCTGAAGAAGGCTGGAGCGTACAACGGCCGAAACATTGTAATAAATATGGCGACAAAGGTGAGGAAAATAGTCCGTATAATGTAAATAATGTAAATAATTTCGAATTGAAAGGTTCATTTTAAAAAAATATGGATTTAATTTTTAAATAATTCATGGATTTTTTAACCCAATTTAGTTCATATCATAAACGTTATATTTAATGCGTATATATATTTCAGTAGTAATCATCGTTTTTAAAGAGTCAAGTTAATGCCTACCAGATTATAGAAAGTCTTAATAAAGAAAATGTCGCTTCCTTGATTGAAATGGGGAATACATGTTGTTTCCTGTCAGGAAGAGGATATTTTTTTTATTAAGATCTAGTTATTATTTATTGTACATAAAACATTCGTTTACAAGTAAATCATGAAAACACGGTAACATGAAAATTTAATAGGAAAAAGCGTCGTATTTGAACCCCAAATATTTACCTTAGGCATGATTCTTTGCTATTGTAATTGTTGGTATTTCCACCACAGCCGCCATAAGTGAACGGATAGCATTTTCCTGTCTTTGAACTGTAGTAAAATCTTTCAATTTCAGCCATGCATGGTCCAGGGTCCGGATTCGAAGAACACATCGCCTCGTTCAGATTTGACGGCCTCACATTCAGACATTGGCTGAAGAAAAAGACGAAGAATTTTTTTCCATTTTTAAACAAAAATAAAGATTTGATTTAATTTATTTGTTTAACGGCATTATGGGTCATTTAATGCCGAAATTAAATTTTCTTGAGAGCTCGGAAGTAATAAAAATAAAGTACGCTTTTATAATTGAATACATGGTAGATGGCATTCGGTTGGCGTGAACATAATTACTAAAGGCGTTGTGTGTGTGTGTGTGTGTGTGTGTGTGTGTGTGTGTGTGTGTGTGTGTGTGTGTGTGTGTGTGTGTGTGTGTGTGTGTGTTGTAGTTTTGCTGAAGTTATATTTTGGAATGCAGTTTGATTTAAGAAATTGCCGGATATTATATTAGTTAATGTTATGAAAATGTTCTTTCATATTTAAAACGGATTTGGGTGAAGTCGCTACATTTTGTTAGTATCACATTTATTCCTAATCTTTTCCCTGTTCCCTTGACCAGCCGATTCTAATGATTTCTCAGGACAACTGTCACTTCACGCCTTGTGTCCGTGACAGGGTTAATTACATCTCCATTCGAAACTTTTCTTCTTCTCTCTCAATAGAATAAGTAAATTACAACCGTATACTCTTAGTCTAAAGTCTATGCTTCTGAAATTAACTTAAACGAGGGTAACAGATGCACATGCGTCCTCGTGCAAACTTCGTCACGTCCCACTTCCACCAATGGGTATTTTAGTCCTCATAAGCGAACTTGCCTTGGTCACGTAGGTTTCTGGCCGGTACGATGTTTCTGATCCAAGGATTTCTGTTGCACTGACCTCTAAACGGATGACATATGTAGACTCGGAGTATAGTGTTTGAAACTTTCCTGGGTTATTTGCTCCCTAATTAATGGTGCTGGAGGCAAACTTTTTTTTTGTTTGAGGGGGGGGGTTATCCGCCTTACAATCAGGGACCCAAAACATCAAAGGAGTATATCCTATCAGCAGGTGTATAATATTGGGTCTATTGTACTGCCATTTTGTGAATGGTTTCTGGACCGTGCAGTAGTCTCCTGTGGGGTCTCTCGATGCCATGATGACGGGTACACTTACGGCAGTATCTCCAGGCGAGAAAACAAAGGTTATTTATGCATGTATCTCCAATGATTGTCTGTTTTACTGCCTACTAGTCGTCCACCAAACCATCCAAAATAAACATGAAAGCAATTAAAATGGAAATGAAGAAAAAATTGCAAACCCAACCTCAAAAAACGAAAAAAAAAAGTAGACCCCAGTTATATCATCTCTCACATCAATGTAAGGGGTCTACTTTCCAACATTTCAGAAGTAGAAGACCATCTTCAGTCTAAACCTAACCTTTTGTCCCTGTCTGAAACGGGTATCAATGCCTCAATCTCATTGTAAGGGTTCACAATCCCGGGCTATTTACCCATTTTAACAAAATTCGACCACCTAAATCGCAACAATCGAGGTCTCAGTTCTTACATTAAGGACGGGTTTCCCTGTGGCAGTGACAAAAAAAATCGAGAACCCTGACCGCCTGTATATGTATTTCCACGTGACACGTATTCATAGTAGCACATTCGCCTTTGGTCTGTATCTTCCTCAGGATGACGGGTTGGTAATCTTCGATCGTATATCAGAGAGAATTGACAATATCCTCACCACATTTCCCTCGGCCAACTTTCACATAGGCGATGAGTTCAAAGTTCACCGCAAAGAGTGGTTGGTCCACTCTAACAAATCCGATGAGGGAGGCAAATAGTACTGAGACTTCTCCATCGCATATGAACTAACCCAGATCATTGAAGAAACTAACCGATTCCCCAATGCGACGGGATAACAGAAGAACCTCCTCAAACTTTTTCTAACAACCAGCCCTGATAAATGTTCATCGGAAATTTTATCCCATATTAGCAAATCATTCTCTTGTCATTTTCCAGATTAACCTCCAAACGGGATATCCCCTGATTTACGGTTCCATAGAAAGAGTTTCCGCTATGTGGAGGCAGACTGGGACATCTTTCGGTCCTATATCACGGAAGCTCTTCAGCCAAACTTCTTCAAACATACTGCCTACAAAACTGCTGCCCAAATCTCCGAATGAATCCTTTTATACTCACAAAAATTCCAACATAATCCAAAGAGTCAGCCCTTGTTCACTCCTGAATGCGATGCAACCATAGCTGACTGGAACCACTACATCAAAATCTATCGCAAGGTGCGGTGTAGTCTGGCCTTTACTTCTTTCAAAACTGCCGGCATCCGCTGTAAGAGAGTGCTGGAAAACGCAAAATGCAGATACGTGCGATTTGTCCAGACCTAGACAAATTAGATCTCGTCAATTCTGGAAGATCACCAACCAAATTATGAACAGTGGCAAAGCGGCTGTTCCCACTATTATAAATGGCCCCGAGGTCATATCCTCCTCGACAGACAAGGCGAAGCACTTTGCTTCGATTTTTGATCCAAAATCAACGTTAGATGACAAAGGTCATCCCATCCCAAACTTCCCACGTCTCACTGTACACAATCCCAATAGTATACTCATTTCAGCAAGAAAAGCATCGACCTCCAAAAAGCCACTGGCCAACACAAAATTTCAGTGGTCTTTCTTAAGCATACCAACCCAGAATTATCCCTGATATCTAACAAAATTATTAAACTGCTGCTTGAAGGCGAAATCTTTCCCAAGCATGTGGAATGTGACAAGCCTATGTCCGGTCTTCAAGAATGCGGGCAACCAATCCTGTACTCCCAGTATAGACGCATTAGTCCCCTTAGTATCATCAGTAAGCTTTTTGAGGCCGTAATCAACAAGGTCGTTGAGCACCTGGATAGGAACAATTTCCTGGGCGACAAGCAGTATAGGTTTCGATCAACCCGATCCACTGCTGACATCGTAACTACCATTACATTAATTAGTGAGGCCCTTGACAACACGCATACTGCAAGGATCATAGAATCTCGAAGGCCTTCAACAAGAGATGTCACAAAAGTTTGCTACACAAGCTCTCCAGCTATGGAATCACTGGAAGGGTTTTCTCTATTATAAAATCCTTCCTAATATAACTGGTAGTTATTAACGGCCTGTCCCACAAGGCTCTGGCGGTCAATGCAGGGGTCCACCAAGGGCCCACTTCTCGTACCAACCCTCTTCTGATTCACATAAATGATTTACCTAACTCTGATCATTTATAAACGTCTATGCCGATAATCTGACGATATACGGGCGCACTTCTAAAAGTCTAGATGATCAGAGATTGACAGATGATCTCTCTTTCGATCTAACATTAACTTCATTGTGGCTGGTAATATTCAATGCCTCTAAAACCAAACTGGTCATATTCTATCAGCGCCGCTTTGACCCCGAACTACCGCCAGTCACGAAGAACGGGTCTTTCATCAAGGAGGTACCTTACCTTGAGAAGACATTGGGCTTCAAACTCACACACGACCACAAGTGGAATTCCTATATACGATCCATCGCGGGTAAAATGATCGGCTCACTCTACCGCTCCAGTAAGTACCTGACTCCTCATGTTATCCCCTACCTTTATAAATGCCAAATCAAGTCAACAATAGAGTACTGTTGCCATATTAGGGTAGTCGCTGCCCAGACCGCACTTTTCAGTCTTGATAGAGTTCAAAAGTGTCGTCCGAGTCCTTGTTGGAGATGAATTATTTTCCAAACTCTCTCTCTCTCTCTCTCTCTCTCTCTCTCTCTCTCACACACACACACACACACACACACACACAGAGGAGTTTTGGATTGGATTGGCTTGTTTTACGGCATATCAACCTCAATAGGTTATTTAATGCCGACAAATTTTTTATTACTGGTAATATTTTCCTTCAAAATAAACTATAGTTGGAAAATTTCTTTTTTAATAAAAATGTATTGCTGGTAATATTTTTTTTTTTTACATAGTATTTCTGATATGTATTAAAACCTATTTTTACATTTTCATAGTGTTTTGACCCCAGTTTGGGTGTCAACTATTTGCCCATAGCTGGGACCACCTAACAGGTGCTACTATCCCGGGTCAGGGTGGACCTGGGAACACCAGCAATTAAGAGGTGATTCCACGCTCTTCAAAACCACCTGATCAGAGGCCTTGCTGTTGGACGTGGTTTATCGTCTTACCCAGGACGCGTTTGTAGTTTACCGTCATACGCAGGACGACTCTCACAGGAGGGATGTGGCGAGTCTCTCACTGCTCCCTCATTATTACCATGGGCAGTGCTCGGACGAACTGTATCACCCGGTTCCACCAGGTCTGAGCTTCATTGCTAGGACCCACCATGCCACTTACATAATAACAAACCACCCTCATTCCTCCGTATTCAATCGGCGAGAAGTAAGTTCCACTGAAACAGCTTTTTTTCCCGTGAACGACTACCCGATGGAACAGAGGATGTTTCCCCGATTACTACAATCTTAACCTGATTAAGTCTACTGTCAACCGTTATCTTCCCTTTCTATACATATAAACTACCCTGTAACGTTAGCCTCTACCTTGAGTGGCCACCGGGACTTGTAAATACAGAGTGAAACTTACTGTTTTAAAAAAAATGTGCGTATTGTTGGTAATTTTACTATAAATGTGTATTACTGGTAATTTTATATATAAAAATGTATTGCTGGTATTCTCACTATAAAAATGTATTTTTAAACTTTCATAATGTTTTGTCCCCAAATGAGGGGTGGGTAACTTATTGCCCGTAGTTGGGACCCTAACTCGTGTTAACCCCCTGGGTTAGAGTTGACCTAGAAACAACAGAAAATTAAGAGATTGATCCACGCTCCTCCAAACTTCCAATCCTCTGATCATAGGTCTTCTTGCCTTATATACTTTGTCAATTAATTGTTTTTGTTTAGCGGCATATCAACACCTCTATGGGTTATTTAATGCCGAAATCTAAATATTTTGTACACAATTTTAATTTTTTGGTAGATAATGAGATTTTTAGTGATACAACTCTTACTAATTAACCCATAGCTGGGAGGGAAGAAGTAGATTCCTACTTTTT